ATCATGAACAGAAATACTAAAAACAATTTGTGATCGTATAAAACTTGGAACATCACTGCTCATGGCTGACTTAGACAGCGAATGTCTTTATGCTCATAATATTACAGCTCTATGATTGTCAGTCATTCCAGGAAAGTTCAAAACAATCCACTGGACTTTGTTTCCAAGTTCAAAGACGTGTCGCTTCCCATCAAGGAAGATTTTTTTTTATTCAAAATGTCAGGAATAGTGTAATAATAATAGTAATAAACCAAACTACTCCCATTGCAGAGGGGCGGATCTATTCATCCGGTTCAATTTCACTGAAAAAAATAATGCAACCACTTTTGCCATTTTTTCTTATCATATTTAGTTACTTTACCATATTTTTTTTTTATGTCCTACCATGCTAACATGAAACAATTGTGTTAAAGTACCTAAATATGATTAAGTAAATGCCCAAAAAATTGTTGCATTACTTTTTTCAGTGTTGCATGTTTTTCTAAGGCTTTGTTTTTGGTCCACTCTATAAAACCTTCAACTAAACGCCATTTTGAACTGAAAAAGCTTCCTGGTTGGGAAGAGAAACGTCTTCAAACTTGGAAACAAAGTCTTTCTGCCAATGAAACGCTTATTTTATGTGAAGAAACTCAAATTCTCTTTATGCTTTTTCATTTGGAGTTAATTTCGTTTTTCCTTTGAACCCATAAAGGTCCGAAGGCCAATCCTTCTGAGCGTAAAGCGGCCATGTCTGCAGGGCAGCAGTTCATTAAAGACAAGGGATACAGCAATAAGACACAGGTAAGGTCAATGCATTCTTCAAAGGTCTCCCATTGTGTCACAAAGCTAACGGTCACGTTTCACCTGCAGATCCAAGTCCTTCCTGCAGGGGCAGAAACAATCCTGTTCAAGCAGTTTTTTAGTGACTGGAGGGACAAGGATGAGACAACAGGACCAAGCAAGGCCTACACCATTGGCCGCATCGCCAAGGTGGAGCAAGTTCCCTTTGATGCCTCCTCTCTGCACTCAAACGCAACCATGGCGGCCCAGCACGGCATGGTGGATGACGGCAAAGGCAAGGTCCAGGTAGGAGGCTGTTCCTATGTTGAACGGAGAGCCATCGCAGCGCGGCTGTGTGAAAACTCCATTCTGCTGTGTTTAGATCTGGCGCGTCGAGGGCGGAGACAGGGTACCGGTGGATCCTTCAACCAACGGCCACTTCTACGGCGGAGACTGCTACCTCATCCTCTACAGTTACAGAAAGGGCAGCAGGGAGCAACACATCATTTACACCTGGTGAGGAAACAGAGAGCAGAACCAGGTAGAGATGTTTAAGACCCAGAGAAGGAGAGTGGCTCAGACTCGGTGTGCTCCTCTGTCAGGCAGGGGCTGAAGTGTACGCAGGATGAACTGGCAGCTTCGGCGTTCCTCACAGTCAAGCTGGATGACTCAATGGGAGGATCCCCAGTTCAGGTTGGAACATGACAGACCTTACGAGGCAGAAAGAACAGACCAGTGTCTGCAAAATCATTTTGGTTGGCTTTTTCTTTTGCTCCTGCTCACCTGTCCCATTAGCAGTGTTGTCAAAAGATAGAAATAAAATGCTAAAGAGGAGTTAAAATAGGAACTTGCTTTATTTGTTATCAATAAAACCAAGTTTGGGTACAACTTTTACACACAGCTGTAATTATGGAGATTTTTGTAACGATCACTGACTTATTTTGTGAAGCATGTGTGTCCAAAAAGTTAAAGTTAAAAAGCAAACTAGTGGACTTTGTTTTTCCAAGTTTGAAGACGTTTCGCTTCTCATCCAGGAAGTTTTTTCAATTCTAAATGTCTGGATTAGCGTTAAGCTCCAGGCTTTTATAGAGTAGCCCAACAAAAGCCTCGTAATGGCGTAGAAAACATGCAGTTTGAAACTGGAAAACCAGCCCCACCCCTTAATAATGGGAGTCGTTGAGGTCGTTTTTGGCCTGCAATACCCGATACTGGTCCATTCCTCTGAAAAAGCAGTCGTTAAGGGTCCAGTGGTTTGTTTTTTAACATTAACTTTATGGAATGACCATGACCTGGATGACTGGGAATCTCCTCCAGCATAAAACTTGATTTCCTTTTGATGACCCAAACAAAAGCAGTTCTCATAATATCCAGCAGAGGGCAGTGTTTCTTTACTTTTGACTGGACCTTATTTTCACAGCACAGCATAAAGGTTGCTGATAACCACCTGAAATAAACCCAACATGCCTGGTTGGTTTATTTTAGCTCATTCATTCCAAACCGCGTTAGTTTAGTGTAATAGATAATCCTTTGATAATCTTGTAGCCATGGCAACACATCAACAAACTGTGAAAAT